GAAAAAGTCCGATTTTGTGTCAGAATACCTATAGTAGAACTATTGCTATATATAAATCTAATATATATCCTAAGTCGCGCTTTCGAGACATGAAAAACGCAAGTTGAATTTCGTCAATAGACCCAGCACAAAGAGAGATATAAAATTGTCTCCCTCCCTTTTTTTCCGCAATGTACGTCTGAGAAATGTACAGCATGATTATTGCAAATATATACGTACCTTTTAATATTAGCTACCCCCTAACAAAAAATAATTATATTGCAAAGAAATAATTGAATCATAACTGTGAAGTACTTTTGGAAAAATTAATTCTCGAAAAACCATATGATATAAAAATAAAACAAACTGATCAGTTGAGCCTAGCTGCAACAAAAATTACAACGCAATATTAATATAAAAAAGAGAGAGATTCCGTGATAGATGAAAAAAAATTAATTATATTTTTGTCGCCAAATTGGTTAGACATTGCGTATTTTGTTTTAAACGAATACTCTAACCATTCACATATTCCAAACTTTCAAATCGAGCTGAAGAATGCTCCAAATCAGAACACAGTCAAATCCTATGTCGGGGAAGAAATTATTCAGTTCTTGTAGCAATGTAGAAAAGTATTGGATTACACAGCTCAAAGCTACCGCCATCTTCCTAATTCCTGTGTTCAAATACTTGTTCAAGTTTTCGTTTCTTCCAACGCAATCTTGGGATGGAAATTTCTAATTTCACAAAGGGAACATGTGTGCAGGAAAATCCCTGTCAGATTAATTAAGCTATACATTGCAATAATTTAATTTAACATTAAATTCACTTTTTGCGCTTAGAAAGCTGTCGTAGTTTCAGATCCTAATTGAAAAGCAGATTTAAAAGCCTTATCATACGCTCTACTTATAAATTATATTTTATAAATATAGCTTTGAATCCACTCTTAAACATTTTGATTACATAAAAATGTCAAAAGGGTTACTGAAAAAATAAACCATGCTCTCCTATCCAAGCATAGAGAATTTTAACATAATTAATATTATCTGTAAAGAATAAAAATTATCCAAAAATTTAGAAGTCTAAAATGGATCAAGTAAACTCTCCATAGAAAACTATTCTCTATTAAAACGTTCAGTGAGATTTGTTTTTAAATTACTAAATTAGAAATTTAACTAGTCATGTAAACTTACAATTAATAACAACAAAAGCTACACGTAAAAGTTCATTGAAATGAAGATCATTTTTAAACCTGCACTATTATAAAAGGATTTAAAAACGCTCAGTCAAGCTCATCTCGCATCTTACATTTTCTTTGTTACATTGACATCATCAGTTAGTGTATAAACTTTTTATAATTATAATTTTTGCAACAGGCATCCTCCGGAAATTAAAAAGCTAATTTAGGAGTCTCTAGATTTCTTTCAATATAAACTTAAATTCATAAATTATGAATATACATTGCTAGTTTTATTTTTTAATAACTGACATTGCTTTTAAAATAATTATTTCGTGTAAAATTTATTTTTATTTCACAAAACAGTGACACAATTTTTGAAACATCAGCGAATGTCTTCTAAACGTTGATAAATTTTTCAAGATTTATGAAGACGAACGATAAATCTTCCGAGATTTATGAAGAAAAATGATATTAATAAGGAAGAATATTTAATAAATATTTTCGTTCAAGTTACTCTGTAAAACATTTCTGAAATTTTCTTGAGTCAAAAATAAACGGAAATACACAATTCTATTAAATTTTCTACGGACAAACAATGCTTCTTTATTCGTCAAATATGTTTTGAAATATTATGCAAATAATACGTTTATGCTTCTTTCAATAAATTAAAAATCATGCATTCTAGTATTCTGACTATGGAAACAAGTCAATATTTCAAGGCTGCTTAAAGATTGTTTTGATTTTCATACAACATTTAATTTCAAAAGAGAATGCCTATGTGTAATTAATAGTATCTAAATAAATAGTATTTTATAATTAAACGTTGGTTTAATTAAAATAAATTAATTAAAATGAATTTTAAGTGTTTACGTACAGTCAATCATGTGGAGTTGATAATAATTATTTTCCATGATCCCTATATAATTAGCAATATTTGCATTATATTCAATATTTGAAAAACAGAATTAATACCAGCTTGTATACACGAAATATTTTGAATTAAGAATAAATTCAAAAGTAGCACACGACACTTCTCATTTAAAATAATAAGCTGTTGACAGAAATTTTTATGCCAAACATTTGCATTTTTTTAAAGTTCTTTATTGAAATCGTTTTAAAAATGCGTAATCTTCCTCGGTACTTCAGTGTAAAAACTCTTATGTCGCTATAAAAAGAAATCATAAATACTTGTATCTTACTTTGAACTGGAACACCTGTTTACAGCGTAAGAACTACCTCGGAACCACAATAGCTCAACAATGGCTTCTTTTATGGATCCAGACCCTCTACCAGCGGGCGAGCGGTAAAGTCGCTCAAAACTCGTAGGTCGAAGCGTGGCGAACGGGTTGGCTACTTCGGCGGTTTCGTGGTTTTCCCTATGTGTACCGTGTTTACGAGCCCGTTTCCCTCACAAAATTTTCCATGAAGGTATTCCTCGTTTTATCGTATAAAAATTTAATTTTTTTATTGCTGATGTATTTCACATCGAAAATATTTTGTATGTTTGCGATGTTTTAATAAGATAGAAGATTATAATTATCTAAGTCATAATTTAAGGTTTTAAGGTAGTCATCAAGATTGTCACTTTCTATTATGCTCCAAGCCGTTTTGTCCAGGCAGTAGCAAGTTATTCACTACCTAACCTACCACACCCAGAAAGCAGGTTCGGCAAGTCTGTCACGCGTTAATTTCTGCGTGTCTGAAGAACTGCAGTAACAATTTACAGATGCAATTCTGCGTACACTTATGACACTTGTTTGCTCTTAGTCCTTTAATTTTTTCTTAAAAAGTATATTTTTATTATTGTATTCTATACTTCCCATTGCTTTCGTTCTCTGATAAAGTTGAAATTAATAAATTCAAAAATACAAACACGTTTCAGACTCACGCCATTACTGTGAAGAATCGGAAAGAAAAAGTCAAAATAACTAGAATTACTTTTCTTGATAAAATTCAGAAAAGCTTTTTTTTTTTTTTTTTTTTTAATGCATTCATTATAGAATTCCAACGCACATGAAAGACGTAAAATTCAATTCGGCATAAAATGCCGTAGCGTTGCATATAATTTTATTTATTTTTCCAGTTTTATTTATCAATACATATTTATCCACTTTTACCTTCTCTCAAACTTCTTTCCATTTGCACACATTTAAGAATGAAATTACTAGCATTTTCCTGACACGATTTTTGAATTATTCAAGTTCCAGCGAGATCCATGTGCTCAAAAAGCGTGAATTAACTTTAAAAGAAATAATCCACCTCGAGGAAGGAAGTTATTTTATTTCCCAAACATGTCGTTCATGCTGTAAAACTCAGCGAATAAAAATTCTTCTGAATGTTTCCTCTTTTTACGTACAGTTTTATAAAATTACTTTCAAACTGCGAAAATATGCAATATTTCAGAGCGAAAAGCAATAGTAATAAATACTAAAATGGCATTCTCAGCGCTTCTTGCGTAGCTAAGTAATACTAAATTATTGTCACATTTTGCATATTGGTTTTGATAACAATAAATACAAGGGAATACAGAAATAATTAACATATTTCAAATTTTTATAACTTTAAAATTAACAAAACAGAATGATTTAAGTACTAAATGAATGTATATACGTATGTTTTCGTACATAAATGGTAGAAGCCATGAGTTAACCATTAGTAATTGAAACAGGCGCCTAAATAATAAAACTACGTTTTTACTTCCTTGTACGAAGTAAAGAAAGTATTGTAATCGCGGAAAATTTTGGGTATCATATTTCAACGAAAATATACATTTTGACCACTCTCGAATCCATGTAAAGAAGTTTCTGCGTGACATCTGTACGTACGGATGCAAAAAAGGACCCTTTTTTTCAAAACGGATTGAAAAATGGATTCTAAATTTTTTCCGTGACGTCTGTACGTACGTATATATGTATCTCGCATAACCCTATTATGTATATATGTATGTATGTATCTCGCATAGAAAACGAGCAGCCTCAGAACGTTGAAATTTCGTATATGTGACCGCTATAACGTGTACTTACGTACCTCCCATTTTGTTTGCAATCGGCCGCACCATATGTGTGTATATATATATACCCACAACCGCATTGGTGAGCTTAGATGTTCTGTTCTTATATGCTGGCAAATTGTGCATTTTTTGCTTTAAAAGTGATTAAATTATACTGTTCTTATGTTCCGATCAAGGTTATGCCTTCAGTTAATCTGCATGCAATAATTGTAGAATTATCAACAATTTAAAAGTTTTTTAAATGCCACTAAGCCTAAAGAAACCCCCATTTGTTTACATTTGAAAACTCATAGTATAATAGTGAATTAAGTCAGTTTCCGCACCTCCAGTGTCTTTTTGCAGAGTGTGACCAAAACAAAACTTTTAAGTTTTGTGCACCGAAAAAAATCTGCCTTCTTGTCCGCTAGGCGAACTGCTTGTTTTTAAGCAAAAACTTTAAACTTTTCACTTACTGTAAATTTTATCACAAGCAAATATGATGGATATTTGCTTCCAGTAAAGATTCAGTAATGCAGTAAATTGGCACTGCATGGATTTATTTCATACGATTGTTCAGGTCCTGAAATCCTAAGATCTATTCTAATGATTCGCTATATAGATTAGGTTTATTGCAGATTAAATTTTGATTTCAGATTAAAAATTGTAGCATCCGTATAACAATTTAAAGTGTAATGAATTCAAAAGCAGTTTACTGAAAGGTGTTCGAAAACGTTTATTTATTTTAAAAATTATATAAGCTGTAATTTACACATACAAACAATTTATCTGCAGTAAGATATGCATTACTAATATCAAATTTAACAGTATCAATGAAGTATTTTTAATATTTCGTACCTGTGTCTCAGTCACGTGCATGATGATGGCTAAGTTCGTCAGATGACTGCATTGGCACACGGTATGGCTCCTGTTGGTGTACTTCAGCCAACAACCGTCGGTCGACCAACTCCTGAAACAACATTTACACATTTAAAATTCTCTATACGAAAATTTAACATAGCACATACACAAGATATAAAACATTTACATGGGTCAGACATTAAAATACTGCTAACAGTGCTGTACATATCTGCCATGAAACAGAAAGTGCACCTCACGTAGTTTCATTATATCCCATCTCAGTTTAATTTTTAACCTACCTCATAATAAATAGACAATGTCGTCCAATGATACGTGCGTATGCATTTACTTGAAGAATACAACATGGTTTGAGACGGCGATATAAAGTTCTGTAGCCAGGATGTTCTCGAAACAGGAATAATGAATTTGTTGTAAATGCAGAAATATCTGCGATAAGATACTTATGAAATCTACCTTAAGAAATATCAACGTAAAGAACAGACTTTCCTAAGACATAGCAGTATGCTAGATGAAACACGGGCCAGATCATACGAGCCAAAATGGGTTAACGCTAATCGAATTAGTGACATCGTAAGGGTCACTATGAAAACCAGAATTTCATTAGAATCTTATTGATCTGAATATTATGATAATTCTGATGTAGGATGTAATAGTAAATTGCACCTTAAGAAGAGGCCATTGATGTGTAATATCAATAGTCATTTTCTGCATTTACCTGCGATCAGCGGTTCAGAAAAAGCTGCGACATTTACTGCACAATCGACCCATCCTTTGGCAGGATAATACTTGGGTGCATGCAATGCTCCATGTGTCACATTTGTTCATTGAGTAGAGCTCAGAACTGTTCTACCATCCATCGTACTTGTCACACATCATCGTACTTGTATATAATAATAGGTAAACAATTTGTGGCATTCATGTCTGAACTGTTCCAAACACACTTGCAGGAAAACACCGCTCCATTCGAATTATCAACGGAACACGTGTTGCTGCCACCCCACCGGGATACTGATTAGCGAAGCTGACTGCCGAACCGAAGGACCCGGGTTCGAATCCTGGAGAAGGCATAGATATTTTTAAATGTATAGTGTTTGTGTGGCATGGGGCCACTATAAATATTCAGCGAGCCGAAAGTCCTCTCGAGAGGTTAATGGTAGTGTGCCCTTGGATCTATCACTCCGGGATGCTCTCCTTCAAAATTGGGGAGGAACTCAGCAAAGTCGTACTCTCACTTGTATGGCGCACAAAGCCTAAACCAACGACAAGCGCAATCACAATCCCTTGCCAAGATGAATTTGTTAGGCTTGATCTGATTCAGACAATCGAAGTTAATAACAACAACAATAACACACGTGTTGCTACATGTGCCCCACAACGACTTCCACACCGCAGACAAAATGTTTGTTGACTATATTAAATAACAGTGCAAGTTTTAGAGAGATCTTTCTTTTGTGTCAAACGTAACAGATGTCACTATTAAAAGTCTAACCTTCGTAAATGGTCACATTCTTATGAAGAAATACTAAACTATGTATTGAAAAACATAATTCAGTAATTTTTTTCACACATGAATTTGAAATATCTGGATTACATTTCCTAAAATAATGATATTCCTTTAAAAATTACTGTTGATAAACCCTTATCTAACTGTAGTCCGTATAAATTACAGATGACTTTCCATTATAAATTACTCATAATTGTGTAATTTATGATTTTAGATGATGAAACGGAGTTTAGATAAAAACTTTATGTTAAGATACAGCAAAGCGAAATTTAGTTCAAAGCATTTAATTTTCTGTTTAGCATAATTATAGCTTTGAAATATAAATTTAATTCATCTGAAAAGAAAAATAAAAAATAAATAAAATATTAAATATTGTTTCAATCAGTTCTTCAAAGAACCTGCAGTTTGACACTGTCATAGAAAATTAACAACGGTAAAATATTAATATAAAGGAAATCAAAAAGAAAAAACTGAAATACAATATTTAATAACATCAAATATGCATTTTCTGCCACATGGCTTAGCGTTACTTTTCATGAAAGAAAGAACTCAAAGATATCCCCTGGGAAGTGAGAGAAAAATGTCATAACTACATAACATGAATTGTTAAATTCCAAGTTCCTTGACAAGGGGGAAAAACAGCCTATGGAATAGAAATTTATAAAGCCGCTACAAACAAGATTATCTGAAATGTCACCGTCTTCGAAAGAAACATAGTTTTGGCGACGAAAGGAAAAAACTATCCATTATTTCAATCTTGTTTCCAAAACTACGCAATTTTACCGCAGATTACAGATTTTTTTAAACTCTAAATTCATTCTGTCAAGAACAGTATCTCCGAGGATACTAAGATACCGAAACAGATACTAAAAATATGTGGATAAGTGATCTAAGTCAGCGAGGTTTTATAAGGAAAAAAGTTAATAAAAGTTTCTTTGCCAAAATAGAAAACTCAGAATACTGGGAATGAATAAAATTATGGAATTTTTGTCGTCAAATCCAAATTTTTTTGTTCTGCATAAATACTGAAGTTTTTGAAATATTTTAATAAACAGTTTTAAATATTTAATAAATTAGTTTATTTTATAGTTATGAAAATAAAAGCACAATGTCTAAAAATATGAACTTAAATTTTATATTTTAACATTATCGATGTAAATAAGTTGTTTTTATTTAACATGTAAAATATTGTCCTGCAGAAATTAGGGCTAAGAAAAACAGAAAGGGTCCAGAAATAGCCCTTGAGAAATGTTGCCATTATGCGAAAAGTAAGAACTTTATCTTCCATGCCCTCTCACAAGTAGCCGGCTTTCGGTGCACTGCCATTCCGCTAAGCCTAAGATCTTTAATTTACCTTTCATACTTAAAAACGTTGATTAAAAAAGTAAACGACCATAGGCAATAAATGCAGTTGTTGATAACTTAATTTTTTTCACTCAAATAATGTATCTAATTGCTATAAATTAAAATATGATAAATTGATAGTCTGATCCAGATGGTAATTTGTATGATAATTTGTAGTGAGTGCTGTTTTGATTAGTTTAAGACGTTTCAATTGTCATATACTACATAAATGGTATAGAACTATTTACTTTTTTAAATTTTTGTGATGCTTTACACTTCATAATTTTTTGATATTTTAAAAAGTGTTTTTGAAATTTTTAAGGAGATTTTTTAAGATGTTAAAATTTAACCTGGAGATTTCAATTTGAAAATTTCTTGTTAGTGTGTATGGTAGGCTAAATAAATGCTTTAGTTGTGCCACAAATCTAATTATATTTTGATGATAATTTAGTTGCATTCTCTCTTACGTGTGACATTTCCATTGAGACCATTACTTTAGGTCCAGTTTATTTGATTACGGCAATGCACGCGAGGGCTATCTGACTCATGCAGGAGATGTTTTCGTAGAAAACTCATATTCACACTACGAGTTAGGTTAGGAAAGATTATTTGAGCGGAAAAGCCTCAAGGGCTATCTATCTTGATTTCATGGGAATGTTTTGAGGAAAACTGGCTCGTATTCAAGTTACACATGGAGAAAACCACGAAAACCAACCATGTAGCTTGTTCGCTTGGGATTGAACCCAGATCAGGTCGAACTACTAGTATTCAGATGTCTTAACCACTTCGCCACTGATGGGGCCTTCACGTTAACGAATAATAGCTCATATTCACGTTACCTATAAGAAAACCACGAGAGCTCTCATGCAACCAGCCCGTTTCACGGGAGTGGAACCCTATTCGACTACCAAAGTCCAGCGGTCCTATTGCGTGACTACTGGTGATACGTTAAGGGGCTATAAGTTGAAGAATCCTGAAAAAAGTTCCTGTAACCTCAGTACAGTGGAACAAGAAACCTTCGAACCTAACCGACCACCAGTGGTTGGAACGCAAAGCCTGAGGTTTTAGTTCCTCGCAAGATAATTCCAAACGAAAGATTTTTTTTAAATCCAGTTTAAATGCATTCGACACTTTTAGCACAAAAAGTCAATTTTTGTATTTAAAGAAAGCATACAACGAGTTCGGAGATCAAATAATCCCCCGTGCTGAAGATAAACACAATAAATTATTTTTTGCATTTCTTGACACATTTATGTCACGAATGAAATTTGAAAAAATATAATATATTATAATTCATATGAACAGTAATAGTGGAAATACAGTTAGTACTCTTGTGTATATATTTTGAATAGTTTTTACATAAGTATAAAAATTGTACACTGTGCAAAAATTGTATATAAAAATTGTGTACTTTGATGAAACTTTGGTTTATGTTTGTTACTCTAAGAAATAATTAAAATTCAAGAGCAAAAAACCGCAAGTGATACACACAATGAAATATTTTCTAATTTTACGTATTACAATTCTTACAATTTAAAACATGGTAAAAAACATTTTATATTACGCCTAAAGGGGCGCTTTTTTAACGTTTTGTATGTTACCTTTATGTATTAAATATCATGTTAAACCATAAATTTCAGTTCAAGAGCAATGTCGCAAAGTAATTTTAAAATGAGCCTATCTTTAGGATTTCCGATACACAGTCTCGGGCGTTGGAGATAAAAATGCTTTGTTTTCGTACAACGTTGCCATTGCTTGCTTTGAAATTGTTGAGTTTGTTAATCAAAAATTCGTTAAAGTGTTATAAAATATGAAATCCATAATAAAACAAATTTCAAATACTCATATTCGGTGGAATATTATGTTATTCAAAATTTGATGACTCTTAGGTACCGTTGTTTTCTCACAATTCGAGAAAAATACACACATTTATGCAGATTCTTCATCATTTAATTTCTTTGAATATAATACAAGGCGATAATATTTGGTGGCAACAATCTGAAAAATGATTCAGACTTTTAACGTTTTCGACGCAAAATACCAAAACAAAATTAACAGTCCTTCTGGGCTAACATCCTTTGGGTTAATAATTCGCATGATTCTGGGTGCTGGGTTCTATGAATAATAGAATGCTCTAACAAATAACTGGTACGGTTGACCAAAATATACTACCTATATACATATAAGTTATTAATAAAAGGGCGTTGCATTAGTTGCATAAGATAGTTTACGCAGATTATTAGATTAGAAAGCGCCCTTTATAAAAGTTTTTTCCTTGGGTATTTGTACTAGTAACGTTCAAAGATAATAAACGTTATTTTGAGACATCCTGTATTAATTGTATCTTGATAAAAGTAGTTAGGTTTTCTTAATGTTGAACTATATCACCTTCCAAAGAAATGAAACGAATACATTACATACATTTTAAAAGAACACAATCCTATTCTGACTTACGCACAAGCGTTAAATTCATCAAAGGCAAGACAAGATTCGAAAATGTTCCAAGCCTGGACTTTTACTGATTCAGAAAAGTAGTATCAGTTAGCTCTATTCTTAGTAAAACTGTAGATGACATTATATTTCTGAGAACAAAAAATACGGAAAATCATTAGTGCTCTAGCCAGGATTCGAATCACGGTCCTTTCACGAGCCAGTCGGACAAGCTAGCTACTTACATCACAAGAGCATACATAGGAAAATTCAATAAATCCTTATACTTTGTTGCCCCAATTAAAGGTGACTGTGGAAAGGTGAAAGCTCTCGACTGGTCCAGGAGGTAATGAGTTATTATCCACCAGATTTTAGTTCGAATATCATTGCCAAGAGTATTAGGTTCCTTCGAGCAGGAAATATAAAAAAAATCAACTATGCCCTTTAGGATATTCAAACTTCTGAACTTCCACTCCACAGATGTTCATAATTTACATGTAAGTAATCATATAAGAGAATACGGTTATTGCTTAAAAAGTTCCAAAGAAAAATACCAAGTTAATGTATTAAAAAAATGACAGGGACCTATTACAAATTTAAGACTGAGTAAATGATAAACATAATACGCTCCTAAAACCAAAACTTTATAAAAATTCATTTTAAGCTCAAAATTTCTGCTATTACTTATTAATATATATATATAACAATTCAATGATTCGCTTAACAACCTTTTATAACATAAAGTCCAAAAATTGTACTTAAGCCAGTATGCTATTGACAGCAATGAAAGAAAATGCGGAAAATTGTCCTAGAAAATAATATATTTGGACTTAACGTCTTGGCAACGTTTACCAAGCACATAATAGGGCAATTTTTCCTGTTTCTCCAGGTGCGTATACATCACATTTATTTCCACTGCTTTTGACACAAAATATCGTAAAGTGTGACAGAAGACAGTTGTGTTTCTTCGATCTTCTGGACAAGATACCGGCCATATAAGTTACGGAGAAAATTCGAGAGCCACTATCAGATTCTATCCTTATTGTTTATGAATGCGGCATCAGAAATATCATATTTGGAGAGCAAAATAACTGTGACAGGGCTTTCAAAGTTTAGCCTTAAGCAGTGCAGAGACGGAACAATTTATTTTATCATAAAGCGATAATGCTTGGTAAAAAAGTAGTAGGGCTGCAGGAAATAGGAAATACTTTTGAAAAAAAAAGTATACTTCACATGAAATATAAAAAAGTTTACTTTAAAAAATAGAAGAAGCCTCTACAGTTTTTGAAAAAAGTGAATCAAACTGAGATAAAATTTCGTAGAGAAAATGTTTGAAATACATTCTACATAAAAATCTTAAATGCGATCTTTTATAGCTTTTTATTTCAATGACTGAAGTTCCATTTTTAACATTTAAGCTTATGAATTAAAACACCTAAAATTTATAAAGGTATGAAGGTATGAATTTCTGTGAATTAAAAATTGGCAGAAACATTGTAATTTTTTGCTTAAAGATTTAATTCAAAACTTTTAATTTAATTGTTTAAGAATTACGTTGCCATAAATAAGCATAAAAAATGCGAAAAAATAAAAGCATTTTCAGTTTAGATTTAAATCATTAAAATACAAAGCAAAATCTCATTATACTAATATTAACTTTGTAGCTTTTATATTTAATATAAATTCTTAAACAGTTATTTTTAGTTTTTGCTGTGTTTCTGTTCTCACCTTGTAAGCATAACAGTTCAGTTTAAAAGATGATGTAAGTTAGCTAAAGCGAAGAGTTTTTTAATTTAACTTAATCTCATCTAATTTAACTCAACATTAATTTAATTTATTTCATAGTTACAGACATTAATTTATAACAGATCGAAATGACGTGTACTACAGTGTATTGCTTCCATAAATATTTCTATCCCGCGCTGTCGCTACTAATGTAAGTCGATTACCCATTAACTAAGCATTTTGCGTGAAGACTGTAAATAGTTAGGCGTAAATTCTAGTCTTATAATAGTTACCTGATAGGTTATAGTTGGAGGAACTTTAAGAAGTGCGATTTAATAAACTGCGCTTCTAAGTTGCACTTTGACTTGCCAAGAGCTATTTTTGTAAACCGTAAGTCGTAGTAATAAACATTTATTTTAATTATTATTTAAACTGTGTTATACTTAATTTAGTTACTAGAAAATTAAATTAATTACTAGACAACACTGTAGTATATATCGTCTTTCCAATAGGCTACTATTTATAAAACTTGCTAATTTGTTAAAGGTTACAAATTATGTTCCATTTTAAATTAAATTTAGTGCACCAGCAAGGCATGAAACTCACCCAATATACAAATAAATAAGTAAATAAATACTTCCTAACTAATCATAATAAGTGAGAATATATGCTCTCAGTGATAATTCCTAATATTAGTAACTACACGGAATTCATAATGATTGTTGACTGCAAGCATTAAAAGTCTTGTTCACAATACAAATAAACATATTCACACTGGATAGTTTTCGATTACTACAAAATTCTTTATAGCAGAGGTCCTCAACCTTTTCCGCCCCATGTACTTCTTTCACCATTGCTAGAAGATCATTCCCCCTCCTTTCCAAACTCGAAAAATAAATATATATACTTATCTAAATTTAGATGATTTTTCAACATGTTTTATAAATTAAGCAATAAAAACTATAGAAAAGTTTGATAAATACTAGAAAATGTCGTTTTTTATATTCATAAACTAAAATTAAGTACTTAACAGATAAATAAATACCAATTCAGAAGTATAATTGTTTAATTCAATTCAGAAATAAATGTTTGACTGCATTTTCCCTCCTGAAACCATGAAATTCCTCCCAAAGGGGGAATTCCCTCCCCTGGTTGAGAACACTTCCTTTATACGTAGAGATAAATTAAAAACAGTTAAATTATTAGTGTTCAAACTTATCCATATTATAATTTCTATTTTTTTTAAATCACACATTACGTATTGCTTTTAAATCCAACATTTTTCTTCTGTGCCTGTATTCTATGCTTACCATTAGAATTTGTGTTAGTTTATTATAGCAAGCGGCGCATATTTGCGTGCTTTTTCCATTGAAATTTGCATTGTACTAGTGTTTTGTGGTTTTGGCCACTTTGCAGCTGAGAGGCCAAATTACACAGTAGGAAAAATTTAGATTTTGCATTGGGGATTTTTAAGTATATTCTCATGCTTTTTCACTTACGCTATACATCACTATTTATCTTACAACATAATTGCCAAATTATACGTAAAAACAAAAGAATATAAAAAATTAGATTGAGTAAATAAAAATTCGTTACCTTATTTGATAATCCCAGAACACACAGAGAGGACTAGATACGTTTTCCACCTGTAATGAAATAAAACATTTATCAGAAACAAGGAAATTGAATACAGTTAATAAAAGAATACAGCATGTTTTTAAAATATAACGCAGTTTACCATATCATATGTTTAGAATATTAAGGTATAAAAAGGTTTATAACGTAGCATAAATCATAAATCAGATATTTATTTCGAAAAAAGGAAAAAAAAAAACTTTAACGTTATTTTTTCTCAGAAAAAGGCTACTTCGTTGCAGACAGGAATCAGTCAATCCTTTCGAATACACTGACATACTTAAACTTTTTTAATAGAGATACGTAAATATGTTAAACAGATTGGGTCAAAAAACAGCCACAAGATAGAATTACGTAATATTATAATGTTAAACTTAATATTTACAAATAGCATTCATGTTTATTTTTTTCACTAAAATTTCAACATATAATTATTTTACTAAAAGGAGAAAATTCACATCTTTCACATTTTTGCTAATAATCGTATAAGTTAAAATATTATTTTCATAGGGGAAGTAGGAGATGAAGATATTTTTGTGGGTCATAACACATCCTAGTTACACACATTGAAATATCCCGAGAATGACATTTAGATCATAATATACGTATGCATTTTCACGCGCAGATACAGTATTTTCTCAATTTTTCTCCTAAAAGTCCTCAACGAAATAACCTACTCCTATATTAGTGACAGTATTATTATATTTCTATTTCTATTACATTAACAACTATATTTCTATATATAATTAGAAATGTCGATACAGTATCTCAAATGTTAACCGCATTCTTTGAAAGGAAAAGGCAAAATTTCTGAACTTGGCATAACATATGACATTACCATTTTCTGTAAAAATCAAAGACAGAACGTTTTACACAATTTAAGACATTACACTTTTCAGAGGATAAATGAAGATACCAGTATTTCAGATGGCATCTGAAATACACAAATCCTTCAGAAGAAGTATATAGTACTAATCATTTCTATAAAATGAGACCGTTTAATATCCAGTGTAAGAAATAGATACCAAACAATAACAACTAATTAACGTGAAGGCAAACTTCGGCAACCCTTTTGACTGCGGGTCAAAATCAGGTAAAATGTTTGTTTTGACGTTTAGGCGTCAGTAGTATTTTTATTTCAGTCTTTCTTGGTCATTATTAAGGTAAATTTTATTAAGAAAATAATTATAATAGGCTTTAAACTTTTAAACATAAGAATTAAAATTATTATAATTTTAATTATTATAAAAACACACATAACTGAATGGATTTACTTTTCTCTTCGATATCAGTGACTTCAGTGATGCTGAACTTGTGACGTCATTTTAGTCGACGTCTAGCTTATAACCGTCTTAAGACGAATATAAAGATCTGAAATTTCGATAGTTCAGCTGCTCCTGTTCGTACTATTTCACGTGTGTAAATATTTGCTCACATTTATAAGTGAAACCGAATACTGACAAAATGGTAAAGCAATTTTTTTTTGGAATTATGGATTATGGATCGGTGTTGCCAAACTTATCGATTTCTCCTTGAAATTAAGTAACAAGTTTTATTTTTTGAAAACGAAAATGCATGCTCGTCATTTTTAGTTCATTTTTTACGTATTTTTAAAATGTTCATTTCATATTTATGTTTTAAAATTTATTTTTACATATTACACTTTTTTTTCGGAGCTAAAATGGGTCACTTATGAAATGTGTCACTTGGTTGACTCCCGGATCATAGGTTGTCTAGGCCTGCTATAAGGAATAAATGCATTGCACTGAGCGTGCTCTTCTGAAATAAGTGGTTGTCTCAACTATCTCGCAATTGAAAAACAGACAATTCCAATCTGGTTAGCGCATAATTGATTTTTCATTTTTCCCGCAGCGAAAAGCTAATAGTTTTTATAGTGGTACTCGAGTCCAAACCCGTTGAAATGATACTACTTCATCGCCTGGGGTTGGTTGATTAGGTTTTTTTTTTCCTTCTTCTCACTCGCCCTTTAAGTGGGTGAAGATGTAAAGAATTATTGCATTCCCTCGTGCGATTTCTTGTACTGTAAGAATTTTGCGTATGCCGCTGGTAATCGAAAGATTCGTATTTCGAATTTCAGAGGAGCACAAAGGAAATACCACGACAGAATACATTTTTCCTGCACCGAAAATAACTAATAGATTTCATGCTTTCTGGGATGAAAATCAAAACTTCAAATTTTAACAGAAAATAAATACTTAGTAATGACTATTAAGTGTCATTTTTAATAGAATTATTATTTTAACAGCAGTTAATTAATAGAATTATTATTTGCAACATAAATGAATAACATTATATAAAAACTATTACAGAACTGAATAGCATTTTCAACTTCTGTTATAAGTGTTATCAGCGTATATGGATATACGCTTTTAGTTGAAAACGTCCAATCACCTACATATTTATATGTTTTACCAGATTTGAGCTAACGTTATTTTTCTAAGCTCGTACATAAGTGATCAATCAGAAATCACATTGAATTTCCGGATCAGCCAAAAGTAAGCCAGATTTTTTCGCGAAAATAAGCAGGAAAAGAAATATCGTTCGCAAAGTGACTGACATTCCCCACGCTAATCTAGAAATTGAGTATCCATGGGTGGTCAGTGCACTACAGACTTCAATTTACTTCTTCGGTCGCAGCCCAAAAGTGAAGGATTAACTTCACGCTACTACAGTGACGTTCAAAGAAGTGAAATAATTTTTTATGCCCTTACTTGAGCCATTTCTGCCGCCTCGTATATCAAAACTGAACAGTAATATCTTTTTTTTTTTTTTTTTTTTTTTTTTTCTTTTTTGAACCTCTTTATTTCTTCAGCTCAGGCATACGAGAATAAAAATATAAAAAGAGATAGGTCTCGGAAAAAGAAATCTGGGAACTTTCGACAGAAAATGTCGCATCATTACCATTTCTGTCCCAGTTAACACAAAAACACTTCCTTCACATTCTGGAAATTTCTGGAAATATTTCTTGCTCGACTGTTTCATTTTTTAAAGATTTTTCTAGTCCATACTTCTTAGAGAAAGTAATATAATTTATCAAAGATAAGTTGTTGCGTAGCCCTTAAATTTGAAATCCGACAGAAATATGTTTATATAATTGCTTAGATTAAAAAACGTTCAGAATGCATCATTTAAAAATCACATACGAGAAAATCTGAAACATGTAGATAAATATGGAAATAGATAGAGAACAATTAACTGATGCTAAGCGTTCGCTAGCAGAAGAAAAAAAAAAGAACATGATATTCTGTTCCCATAATGAATTCAAAGACTTGAAAATTTTAAACTGTAAATTTAAAAATAATTAATGTAATGTTTTAAATAAACTGTGAAATTAAAACTACAGTGTTCATAATTAAAATTTTCATAACTTATATCCTTAGACATGATTGTAACATTTTGACACTGTAGGCAGTTTTAAACAGGAAATCTATCATCACTAATTTTTGTCACTAATAAGTGTAGTAATAATTGTATTTGTATCATAGAATTGCAGTAATTCTGGGCATCTGGAGGTCAAAGAACGACACAAAAAATGTTTTCTCGCTCATAAATACTGATTTATGAGCGAGAAATAATTGCATTTCTAATAATTGTTTGTAAATGAAATTTCGACGTCGCGATTGAAAAAAAATTCCCTTCGTGCGCATTATGATTCAGTACTTGCTTACTATGCTTCCTCATAAGCATAAACAGTAAAAAACTTTTAGTATGGATTATTATGCAATAATTGTAAATTAATTGCAATTATTGCATAATAATCCGTACTTAATTGTATAAGTTAAGAGCGTGTGAAGAATCTTAACCTATACAATTAGCGCAAACAGTCGTTCTTAAACTGATGAAGTTTTCACAGCAATTTTTTTCAACGAAATAACTATCTGTAAAAGAGGTTTTCTTATGCATACAGTATTCCAGCAGGAAAACTTACTATACAGGTTTCGTTGTAGTATTTGAACTAGGAAATCGTAATACTATAAAAAAACAACGAAGTTAAAAAAGAAAAAAAGAAAAAAAGAAAAAAGAAAAACGAAGTTACGAAGTGACGCGATTACATTGCTGTCACAGCTTAAGAGGAAAAGAATGGGAAACTTACCCAATACGTCTAATCTTATCGAAAATGATAAAACAAACCTTACACGACTCGATGTTAGAGTTCAATAAATTAAAAAAATTATTTTAATAATTAATGAATATTTTTTAATTTCACAATATTTATTAAAATTTTACTTTATTAAAGATTAATGTGATAATAATTAAATTTGTTTTGTAACGTTTCAAAAATTGTTTATGAAATTAACAAATGTTAATTATTCAACATCCATTATCAAATAGTAAATTATTTCAGATATGTGAAATTTATCATACTTAAAGCACTCCTTGCAACTAATAAGCTATTATTTAATCAAAACAACTTCTTCTTTTAGAGGTTCATATTAATTTAAATGCCTAACTTCCTTGTACTTCATGTGACCTCCTTGTACGGCCTATTAAATTATACATATTTTTTGCTGCATCTCATTTAAACATAATTCCTCGAATTTCATTAGAGATGTACTTGTCATTAAATCAATTCAGCCCTCGCTCCGCAGCAAAGCAAACATACAAAAGACTCAAAGCATCTTCATTAAAAATTGTAAACCACAAAAAAATCTAAAACACCAAATACAATTAAAAACAGTTAAATAAAACAATTTTTACAAATAAAATTAGAGCTTCTACTCAGAAATAAGCAAGCTGGCCAGCAGGTACGAAGACAAAACGTTTTACTGCACAAAACTGAAAGTTAACGCTTGATTCCGCTGCGCATAAAGACACTGAAGTTAGTGCACCAACTGACTTCAATTACTGTTCTATTAAGAGTTTCAGATGTTAACAAATGGCGGCTTCGTTAAGCTTAATACCACTTAAATAGCTTTTAAATTGCTGATATTTCAACAGCTTTTGCATACAGATTAACTAAAGGCCTAAAAATCTAAAAATCTTTACCGGA